TCATGTTTTTTTAGCATTCTGAAGAGCCACTCGCATGCGTAGGAATTCAATTAATCAATAATGAGGTTTAGTGCCATCGGAATATGATTGTACACCTAGACCAAGTCAATTTTTTCTGAGGAATTGGGGCGTCTGTTAGTGTTGCTGCTAAGTATCGGATATATGGCATTGGACAGAGGTCGGCGAAAACTCCTAACTTATAAGAGTCCTGTTTTCGAGCTTTGCAGTTTGCATCCCGCTTAACATTGCAAGTTATATACAGTAAACTGCTCATGGGACAAATAAGTTCTGTCCACTTGTCACCGATATATTGGAAAGTTCAGCCATGCTATTCTCCTTAATCAACGACATACTTTGAAATACGTAGGCGATTCCTCTGGTGGACAGTTTAGTAGTACCACCCAACAGTCAGTGACGGAGGATATTGGCGAGTCTGGCCTTATCCTCATGTAGATATAAATCATGACGTCACCAAGAAGTAAAATCCACTAATTGAGCCTGTGTTCATCCCGTACATATAAACATATCTTTGCGGGAAGGTTGTAGTGAGTTCTCCATTTGTGGCCTGCAAATTAAAGAGGCCTTTTCCAGCGATTGTCCTCTGTGGCACAGATGATGCCATCTTTCACACCAGTATCATCCAGTTAATGGGTTTTGATGGAAACATCTCTAATGTACAGCAAGCGGTTGCCACCACTGGCCACGGTAGCCTCTGGTTGGTGATGGGATGTAATTGTCTATAGTCTTGACACCCTTATAATACCAGACGGTTTCCATAACATTCGTACCAGCTTCGTAGGCTTTGTGATATTAACACCAGTGTTGGTATTCGCCTTTATTTAGTTTAGACTTCAAACGTTCGTGTAGGCTGCTAGGTAGAGTAAGGCTTCTACAACCGTTTAGGTGATTGCGGAATCATATAATTCTGCTGTTTCAGATCTCCTGTACATCATATGTGAACTGAGTATACTTCCTTTACGAGCCGCAGATCTATCTCTAATTCTTTTTGGCATATGTAAACTATGTGTAAATGTGTAAGCAGGTACACCTCCGAACTCTTGCATAGCCGGACACTGAAGAAACGTTTACTGAAACGTTAGAGAGATGAGAGGTCATTTTTCTTTTGGATTACTGCCCTTAGCACTTGTTTAAATCATACGGAAGAGCAGGAATTATTGTCACGAATTGTTGGCTTGGTGTGTTTATCCCGTGATTTCGCCCTATCTAAGCAAACTGGCGCGGCTTAAAGCGTATCGTTTAGGGTGCCTAGTTACGCCTGATAAATAATATTTTGGGTAAGTAGTAAAGATATATGAGATGAACATATACACAATGAAATGTACTTGCGAAAATAGGGGAAACTATTTGAGAGAATACCAGTTTTGGAGATGACAGATGTCGATGAGTATGGGAAGTACAATTTTATGCTAATGTAAGTCTGTATCCTCCAATGCTGTATGACCAGAGAACTGTTAGAAACCAGATCCAGACTGAAATTTGGTATTACGAAATAGAAACTATATTAAAGGATTGGAATCGCAGGGCAGAGACTCGGGCTTATTTAACTAGGAGTCGTGCATTAACAACGGAAAATTAGACGATAGCGTACCATGTGATGAAATAAATGAATTTGTAAATGAATTTGCATGAGAAATGTACTTCAACCAGTCAATATACAGATTTTCAAAGCTTTGTTCCTCTCAGGTATAAAACAAGTTTCGTAAAGACCCTCAGGTATAGGGTCAGAGCTATTTACTTAATAGATGCAACTGAAGACGAATTTAAGGATGTACACGACAAGTTAATTGAAAACAATTACCCTGAAAAGTTTATTACCAAACACGGCCAAGAAAGTAGAAAAGAATTCTGTAACTGTTGATAGGATGCTTCCATATATACAATTACAATTCAAAGGTGATACACCAAGTGAAATAACAACCAACTAGTTAAGAAAATCGATTCAATGAATTTTCAATGAGGATAAGTTGCAGATTATATTTTCCACATAAGCGGTTGTGATTCCGAAAATGAAAGATGAAGTATCTAGGCTAGCCACCTATAACTGTATCTGTCATTTCAGCTGCTCTTGTGGGGCCAGTTATATTGGCCGTAGCTCTAGGGACCCAATTTCTTGTGCTCGTGAACACCAAATACCGTGTTTAAATAAAGATGTTTTTAAAGCCATCACTATTTCTATAGTGGATCATCTCGTCCAGACAGACCAGAAAGCTAACAAAGTCTTTCTCTATAATCTACCGGGTACTGAATAAATTACTATAAGACTCTAGATAACGAACACTCCAAACACAAGACGGCATTGCAATTCGCTTAAACCAACCGGAGCTGTACGTGCAAAAATAGATCTGGCGACTATTGTTACCATGACCCGCTACGCAACTTGTAAATTCATGAATTCAGTGTTACTTCACTTAATTTTTCTGATTTTCAGTTGTTGCACATTACATCTTACTAATAATTTTGAAATGTAGTCGGTCGATAGTGGGGATTCAGTCTAACTTAAAATACAATTGTTGTCAATAACAATAATTCTTTAATTATTATTATTATTATTATAGGTTTCCAGGCCGTAGGTGTTACGAACTTCCTGAAATAATTTATTATTATTATTAATTATTGTTATCAATTATTGTTCACTTAAGGTTCGGGTGGAATGTAAACCTTTAACAGAACGAAGATGTACAAAGAGCGACATGGATTTCACCTGACGGACACACAAAATATCAAACATGAATTTTCTCCTACTCAAAAAAGTACGGAAGCAGTCTGCTGGACACAAAGTAAAGAAAAGGAGAACCTACGGACCTCGACAATTATGTAGTGCAAGGTACCGTAAGCATCACACTGAAAGCCCTAGAACCGACTGAAAATGAACCATAATTCAAGTTCAACACTCAAAACCTGGAAGGACAAAACTGCAAAGGATACCTTAGCTATAGATATCAGACCTCAGCCGAAGCTAATACATGGTATCACTGAGGAAACCTGCGTTGAAGAACATTGGAATTCCCTGAAGTTGATGTTCAAGGAAACGTGTTCACCTATTCCAAGACGAAAGAAGAGATATGACAAAGAATGGCTCCCAATGAATACCTCGAAGCTAATGGAAGAGAGGATGATGGGAAAACAGATGACTCAATGAAAAGATGGACAAAAGAATGAGAAGTTGAGTTCAATTTCAACTGCACTCAATAAGGAGAGGAGTGAATAACAGTGATATGAAAGACATAAGCGGGTTCTATTACACACTGGAAAGTGAAGCAAAACACGCCACAAGCAAAACAGACGTCCGAACATTATATCAGATAAGGACATTTCTATTCGGGAAGAGACCAACACATGTGAAATCAATTAAAGACGGTGAGGGTAAGCCAATTACCAAGGAGGAGAAACAAATGAAGCAGTCGACTGATCACTCCAAAGGACTATTGAATCCACTGTGATCTGCAACTCGCACAGAAACACACCACCACCAACAGCACGCACAAAACTACCAGGCAGCGAAAACCGGTCCTCCAATGAAAGCAGAAATCTCGGATGCAATCGAGCTAGTGAAGGCCAGACTGGAATGTGGCAAGACCGGATGAGGCTCCCTCCTGAAGTACTGGAAACGCAACAAGAGATTGCAGCGGATATGCTGACGCCGCTATTGCAAATCATTCAGAAGGGAAGAAAGGCTCCTATTCATTGGAAGAGAGGCTACCCTGTCAAACTACGAACGAAAGACGACTGAGGCCTCTGAGAGCACTGGCACGAAACAATGCTCCAGTCCACGCCAACTAAAATACTAAGTCGTGTCGTCCTGGAACGAATAGACGACGCACTGGATGCAGAAATCTGCTCCACCGGAACAAGTTGGATTGAGGAAAGACAAATCGTGTGCGGATGAAATTGCAACTCTCTGCTTCATCATCGGATAGAGCATAGAATGGCAGTCGAACCTCTACCTCATTTCGTCGACTTTGAAAAGACCTTCGATAGGGCAGACGGAGAAGTGATTTGGAGACTGCTTCAACACTGTGGCGTGCAGTGTCCCCAATCTTCGTCGACCTCATTCAACAGCTGGCTATATGACAATGGCACATGTCAGGCGATTCACAGCGGAAAACTCAGAGAAACCTTTCGAGTGAGGACGGGAATAAGACAAGGCTCCCTACTATCACGACGATATTCCTGATTGTGGTGGGGTGGATCATGCGACAGACAGGCTGTGGAAGGGGCGATGAGAGAAATACACTGCACTCACCGATCAGAAGACTCTAGGAGATCCGGATTTTGTGGATGATTTGTGTCTAATGTCCCAAGAACTCGAAGATCTGTGGGCGGAATCCAATAAATTGACAGACGAGGTTGGTGGCGAAGACACAGAACAGGACTTCAAGTGAACATAGAGAAGATGGAGGTGGTGAAGACAGTCGACCAACAACGACAACAAGCACCGATCATTGTCGAGAGGAGAAATCTGGAGGAGATCACTTCTTTCAACTACAGGTGGCACGGATGAGGATGTGGAAGCCAGTCGGGATCGGAAATGGAAGACAGACCTTCATTGCTCTGAAATCAGTATGGAAGTCTACTGCAATTCACATAAAGAAAGCAGTTCGGATTTTCAACATGAGTGTCAGGTCAGTCAGTCTCTTCTTCTATATCGGTCAGAAACTAATCACGGACGAGTCATGTTAAGCATTTCCAACGGGATACTGCAGACTTTTACCAACGGTTGGCTTCGATCGCTCCATGTTGAAGATCGTATGGCCAGGAAGAATTGACAACAAGGAACTCTGGGAACAAACCACCCAAGAATCTATTGCTCAACAAATATGTAGGAGAAAATGGAGATGGTTAGTTTGTTAGTATCTTCGTGTTGAATACTTTCTCAGTTTAAGGATATTTAATGCTACTTCTAGAAGTGACTATACAGATGAACAGATAAAATTACTAGCTATTTATTGATATCAGCAATTTATTTCCATTGCATATAAGTTATTCGATTAATGTTTATATTTGACCAATTTGCAAGCAAATACATCTAATTATCAATATCATGGTTTCTTACGAGTGTATAATAATGTTTCCGATCTTTCGTAATGCAACAACAAAAAGTATCGAAATAAATATTTACCTCTTCAGAGAAAAGTCGATCCACATTTTGACAATATAGCTTTGGAACAATATTAATTTTCAAGTGTATTATATTTTCTCATGAAAAGTTGTCGGTATCTTTTTCAGAAAGTAGACTGTTAAGGATATTGTATCCACTCAATTGTTTGGGGTCTTGAGAAATTTCAAAGTGATTTGGCGGAAAAGTCAGTGGTTGAACTGATGAGTTACAATTGAATATGTTACTTGAAATAGTTGAATGCATACCACTACTGTCTTTCAAAATAAACCGAGTTGTGTTACAAGTGTTCGCAGCAAAAGGTTTCACATTCTAGTAGTAAGAAAATAAAAATGTATATATTTGTTGAAAATAATGTGTAATTTGATATATTAATTAATTTTCCATTTTTACTCGAAAGTAACATATTTTTCAAGGAGATATTGATATAAGTTTGCGTCTATTACCACATTTAATGTTGCATTAATATTAATAGTACATGCTGCTATCAAACTCCAGATGGCTGCCTGGGAGACGCTGTGGACCTGCTTTTTACTTCTACAAGGTCAAGTCACTATACAGCTCTAGGCATTACCTTTTAGCATCCCGAGGACCCTAGTTAAGCGACCTACATTTCTCTACAAGGATCACACCAACAATCGATTTTTTATTCTTTACATTTCGAATGGAACACAGGCATAGAAACAGATACAGATAGAAAATTACTGTTACAAGAAGACACTTCCGCAAAATTACATCTGACTTCTTTAATTTCTTGAATGCATATTTACAGGATAGAATCAGCTTAATCATCTGTTCCCACCTTATGAAAAACTCCAAAATAACGAAGTCTGACGTACATTAATATAGGTGAAATAACTGGCAACCGTCTACAGGAATCATATTACAAAAAAATTGGAAATGGAATGATGAAGATATTGCACATAGAAGATCATCCTTTACACAACAGACATAAAGTCGAGTCGGAAATGATCGAAGCAGGTTATTCCATTCCGTTATTAATTTTATAGATAATTTAGAAATAAATACGAATGATTCTGATGAGAAGAATCATACAAAATAAGACAGGAGATCTGAGAGACTTGCAAGCAAGAAGTTCTTTATAAACATTTAGAAAGACATCTGATGGGCGGCAGATTTGGCGATTGACAATTTCCACTGCCTAATTTACTGTTTAACTGTCCATGGTGACTTTTTACTGTTTATTGTAAATGCGCAATGCAAATAATGCTGCAGATTTCTGAATTCTCTCCCTTCCGTATTGTATGATTTAATGGTATGAAGTCATTGTAAGTTACAAACACAAATAAATTCTTCATTTCGACCAACAGCAAAATCTCGCACAGATTTAATGCATGCAACTAAGAAGCCCTTATTTTGTTCATTGTCTACCAATTTTCAAGTGACATTTTAAAAAATGTCCTTACCTTAGATGTTTTCAGACTATCAGAGGCTGAATGGTTTTTCTCAGGAATCTTGGAATAGTTAGGATCGAAAAATAATCTTGCTTTTTGTAGATAATCTGAATTCGTTTTAGGTGGGGATTGCATCTTCAAAGGCTGTATAATTTCAGGCGAACATATGTAAGTAGGTAGTTCATCTTCTGATTCTAAGAAGCTGACTTGGACGTTGATGACATTCCCTAATGCATCAGTTGATTCAGTTGTATTGTTTTCATTTTCCGAGTTTAGTTCATCATCGACTTCACTATAGAAAGATTCATCATATCTAACATCTACATCTTCTACCTTGTTTGCACAAATTCCGGTTAAATCTGATGCATTATGAAAATGTGTAGGATTGCCTTCAATTTCTTCTAGCTGAAAATTACTTGCTAAGCAGGATTTAAGTATTGGTGGAAGCTTCAGTACAGGGTTTTGTATCATCTCTGGTATCTCAGTCTTTATCGTTTCGACCTTGTATGAACTAAGAAATTCACCAGCTGTATTGGCTATGACGTCTTGAAAGTTTAATTCGGATATGACATGTAATAAAACATCACACGTGCATTCGTTTCTACCTGACTTATGCAAATCCAAATGTGATGACGTTATTTTACAGCTACTATGCTCAACTTCTTCTGAAACTGTTGCAATAAGATGCTTTGAACTATAAGAAAAGCGATAAGAATTTCAAATGGGGCTGTTAATGCAAGGCTAAAAGTCAAATATTATTGCACTTTACATGATTTGGAAGAAAAAATGGAAATAAAACAAATTAACGACCAGTGTTTTTATCGAGTAAATCTTAAAACAATAAACTTTTGAGAGATCATTCGAAAGATAAACTTCCCTTTGAAAATTTAAGCGATTAACTCTGATATACACTTAGTGGGGAAATGGGTTTTTTCCTTGTCTGATGGAAGTTAACTAAGTTTGACACAATTTGTTTTGGAAGTCATATTCATCAGGACTCAAAGTCATTTGACCCTAGCTACAAATAATGAATAACGATTAATAGATAATCTGCTATTCCCGTAATTGCAGCGAATGGTTTAAAGTGGTTTGATGATACATTCTGAAGAGCTAGTTTTGTCATCTGAGGTAACCACATTTTGGTTTATTCCATTCTACTTAAGCCAGCGCAGACTGTCAAAAAATTGGCAGAAAACATTCAAGCTATTTCAGTTGAAACACTTTTACAACCTAGTCAACTTATATATCATTATCCTGATTTTCAGTATTCTTTTCGGGATGATTTTTAATGAGGTTTTCGTCAGAAAAGTAGCCTTACCTTATATTCCATCTTTAATAGTTATGTTTTTAACCTGAGCAATAACACACAAACTACATCTTGACTGTTCCAGGTATCAGGTGGCATCAAATAGTGAGAGGTAGAGTAAACTTGTGCAAACACACCAACATAAAACTATGTAGAGGTGCATCGGCTGAAGTTACTACACTGCCGCAAAATATATAAACATAACAGAAGAATCACTGAATAACAACTCCTAGTGTAATAAAAATGTAGATTTCGAGTCAACCAGATGAAATCTTGGTTAAGTACCAACTTTAGGAACACTGACCACTAATGAAAAAGCTTAGTTTCCACAAAAGCGTACCTTTATTCAGTTGCCGTATTTTAGCCAATTTTTATAAGAAGCACACTATACGGAAGTCACGGCAGTTTCACTAGTTCTTAGTATCAAAGGATTCCCTTTTGGATAAATCCAAGTTTAATCACTTTACACAAATCAGTACCGAATCACAGATCAAACAGCCCAGATTTCACTTTTATAAGAAACGACCGCCATTTATACATTTATCCGTCCTTTTTAGACAAAAATCTCGTAGCGCATTTTTATTTACTGCCATTAAAATTAACAAATACTTATTGTCTCTATCATCCAAACTAAGTCAATGCTTGTAACTAAATCATTTCGTGACTTTTGAACCGGGAGTAAATGCAATTAATCATAACTAAATGCCTGAGTATCCTAACATCGCAATACGATGGGGTATCTGGAGCTGAAATCTTGCAGAGGTAGTGATTGAAGATATACTTTCTTAATGAGCAGAAGCAACTTTTGAGCTGAGAATGAAAATTTCCTACCAACGGCTTCCATGTATTTGTAATTTTGGCTTTCAAATTAAAATAGTTTATGAGAAAAATGCAAAACTTATATTAGCTGCTTAAAAATACTGACAACCTACCAATTATAAATTAGTTCGTTTGCACTCATATATTGTTTAACTGATTTGACTTGAACAGGCCAGTAGGAAAATTGAAAAATGTTGCTCACTTTTGCATTTATGATACCGATTTCAACATTGTGTTTTAAATCAAGAGGATCTGTTTTATGAAACCACATGTCATCATTGTGACCATTATATATGACAAACATTACAATTGTATGAATTGTTTGGCACACAGTTTTCGGATTAAAAAATGAATAGTTGAATTGTCTGTTTGAAGGAATACATAACGTATCTGGAGTACATGCGAGAGATCCAGAAGCTTTTTTATTTATTAGTTTACCTCCATTACAATTCTTTTCATTTTGTGTCGTACTTCCATTTTGACGCAAAAATTGACTCTGTGACTTTACAGTAGGTGAGCTGCCCTCATTTAGTGAATCAGCTAAACAGGATAACTTGCAAGGATGATTACATCTTTGGGAAATCAGTCTTTCATTTGGAACCAACCAATTATTAAAATGGAAGTGATAATGTATATTATTTTCGACATCCTCCACTGTTATATCTCTTATGAACCATCTAAAATAACCTAGTATTAAAATATAAGCTAAATAAACAGATGTATGTTTATGACTGAAGTTACGCAGTCAAAAGTTGAAAACGAGCTCTAATGCCTATTTTGATAAATATATACCAAAGAAAAAAAGAAGAAATAATTCTATAGAATTTTGTAAATTTACGGGGGAACGTAATTATGCCTTGAGTATTATCAGTATGAATTTAAGTTCATTCTTTCTTTACTTTAACTCTAAAATAGTGTTACATGTCGAATGTGAAACAGTAAATAAGTTACCAGATTTATGATCCCAGAACAGTTTTCATCCGATATTCAAAAGCAGAAATCACAACACAGAATTTGTGTTCTTAAACCAAGCCACCTTGTAGTACTTTTACGATAAGCCTCCAGTCATCTGTCATAATTACTAACAGGAAGAACTTCATTCCATGTACCCAAAGATGACTTGGTGATAATGCCCTTCTGAGATTCAATGGAAGAATACTCTTTGGTCTTGAGGAGATCCGGCTTCTATTCAAAGCTAACGTCATTACTAATCACCTCTAGTATACTAGCGGCCAGTTGATCGAATAAGTAGGTGTGAGTCAGGCAGCACTAAATAGGTCCTTGAAGGGCTCACTGTCCAAAATCCCTATTGTTTATCCTTTCAGGCCATTTGATCTTCAATATCGAGCTAAAACAGCTGTTGACGAAGGCCTGAGGCCTGCTGGAAATGCTTTGGTGACACCCAAATCCCCCGAAGCATATGGAAGTACTGACTTGATGATACTGTGTTTCCTTGTGATAAATGCTGTAAACTTCTATAACGACTTCAGAGTAATGAATGACTGTTTTGCTTCTCTGATCATGACTTTGACGTCCTCATTCGTCCTGGCTGTAGCTGAAACCAAGTCTTCCACCTACGTGAAAGAGAGGAATTCGTTTAGATTGCTCCCGTTGATGGTGACTAATGCTTGTTGTTGTTGGCTGAGTATCTCCATCATCTCTGTCCGCTACATTTCCACCTAAAGTCCTGCCTCTTCTGCCAACTTCTTAGTTTTCTCTTGTATGTCTGCGATTTGGCCAGAGATGATAATTAAATCATATGTGGAATCCAGGTCATATATAGGGTTTTTGGTAGATCCATAGTATACCCTATTTTCAAGTCTGGTAGTTTCAAAGTTCCTAAAAAAGTTAATTGCTGTGTGAACAACACCAAGTAATATCCTACTGAGCTCTACTGGCCGAACAATAATTTCTTATTTATTCATGTGCTTCAAATACGTATCAGCTTTCAATATATTGGATTCCGGGGTGTACCGATTACTCCTATATTGCTTTCAACGCGTAAAGTCTTATCTTTGTCATCTAATCTTTTCAGTTTCTCAGAATTTCACTGACTTCTTAGACTGAAAGGTGGAGGGTCTCCATCGTGATCAATAATCGCTGGTTGCTTAATGGAACAAGACAGTTGAATAGCCACCAATCGGTCATCAGTCAGTCCAGACTTTACGAGAGATACATGGACAATATCACTTTCACTGCTGATGAAAATGCTGTTCTTTACTATTTTCATTCGTTGGAAGTCATATTTGCCTGCTTGACATTGAAGATCTGCTGACTTTACTGATATACACTTCAATGAATTATGATTGTAAGCAGCTCCCTGGAACTTTGTTTAACATTTATTTGAATAAAAAATTTTCGAGTTGAATTGTTTACACCATTAAATTTTACGAATAAATCCTCTTATGTGTAAATTTGATAGACAAAACATTCTTTTGCAAACAAACAGAAACGTGTTTTTTAGATCACTATGCAGGTTCAGAGAAGATATGAAAGTCATCTGTTTCTAGAGAATAGTAGGAGCACAATCTCATCTAGAGTTCAGTAAAATCAACTTAAGGATAAATACAAAGCAGTCAAGAAGCTACCAGCAAAGTTGGATGGCACTTGTCACCTCTTATGAAGCATGTCCATAAACTCAGTAGTAGGTAAGTGTTGATAAGTCTCTTTTAGTTCGATAGGCTGGTAAAACTATTAAGTACGTTAAAGAAGTTAGCTCCTCATAGTCGTTTTACTCTAATGTAAAACCTATTAATAACTTCTACAATCTTCGATGAGACTTCATCACAATAAGAGCAAAGTAAGCGTAGGAACATGGAGTATCCTCACAATGGTTGAAGTTAGCGACGTTACGCAAATTAAGAAAGAAATAAGATGTAGCGCAGACGCAGTAGCAATATGTGAAGGCAGATAGAATGGAAGTATCAATATTATGATAATATTCGTTCCTTGCATTTCGAGTCGAACATACAGCTTTATTGGCACATCTCCGCTGTATTCTGTCCTATGCCTTCTTTTTTATGTCTCCTTGACTTTTCACAAGCTTGGATTTCTTCTTTACACTATGTCCTGCACGTCCCTCTCGGACTACCGACCTGCCACTTCACTGGGAACCTTCACTGGTGTATAGAGTTACTCAATGGTCTTCTCAGCATTTGCCCAATCTATTTCCATTTCCTCCTACATAATTACAAGATAGTAATTCCTCCATTAGCGCACTACTTGTCAAAGTTAGTTCTTGCTTATCCTTTCCTGTTTATCATTTGACTTTCAGTATCGAGTCAGAGAAGACAGATGTTTATGAAGCCTGAAGCTTGTAGCGAATGCTTTTGGTGATGCTCACACCAATCCTTTGGACAGTATAGAAATGCTATTTCACATTATTGTCAATTGTTGTTCCATGTGTGTGGATGTATACAGTGAATTCAGGGTAATAGAAGTTTCCAAATTCCCATTTACACATTTGGAAAAAAAAAGAGATTGAGAGAAGAAATACATTCCTTTTCAATTAGTTCCTCATCATCGGCTCTGCACTAATATATAGTTTTTAACATCAAAATGTTTTACCAATCAAGTGGTTATTTTAGTTAATCAGTTTTAGGTATAGACGGGGGTGAAATCAAGAGGTTAAAGGTCATCAAAACAAATAACTAGTAAATGTTAGTAACAAGATATCTAAGTTTTAAAAGATGGGTGAAAATTAATTAGGAAATCCAAGATAAGTTGATTCTCAGGCATTGGCAACAAGTTCATTAAAGATAAGATTTTATTTTATATCAAGTCAAGTTATGTGAGTGACTTGATATAATTATGAGCAATAGTTTGTGCTCGAAACGTCATCAGTTAATATTACTTCATAACACTGTATGATTTCTCAAAATAAAATCTTATCTATAGTGGAGTTACACTCTACCACAGTTGGCAACAAGTTATTGCATAATCAAGAAATTTGTAAAATAGCAGTGATGACTGAGAAGCTTTACGCAGCTCGATACTAGCTCATCTCGTCGATACCGGACATCAAACTGACTCTAACAAAGCTTTTAAAGTTATTTATCGTAAATCACCCAACCTCTCGCATGGCCTACAAGTACGACTTTTACATACAGCAGAGGCAATCGCAATTCACCTGAACAAGCCATATCTGTGTTCAAAAGGAATTTGTACAGCCCCTCTCTTTGCCATGGCCAATTACATAATATGTATTAATTTTTTTAAAACGATTTTCCCCTCCCCTTGTAACTATCTTTTGAATTTTTTAATTTTTATAATTCTAGCTAATTCTATTAACTTGTTTGTGTTCTACGTAACTCTTCTGAGTCATCCTATTCTTCTTAGTCATCATGGTTATTTTACAAATTTCTTGATTATGTAACAACTTGTGGCCAACGCCTAAGAATCAACTTATCTTGGATTTCCTAATTAATTTTCACCCATCTTTTAAAACTTAGATATCTTGTTACTAACATTTACTAGTTATTTGTTTTGATGACCTTTAACCTCTTGATTTCACCCCCGTCTATACCTAAAACTGATTAACTAAAATAACCACTTGATTGGTAAAACATTTTGATGTTAAAAACTATATATTAGTGCAGAGCCGATGATGAGGAACTAATTGAAAAGGAATGTATTTTTTCTCTCAATTTGTTGATTTTTCTAATAGAAGGTTGTCTGGATTAACCGATTACCAACTTCCTGGATTCGACATTCTCGTCCATGCTACCTGCTTGTCGTTTAAATATTGCTGCCAAAGTAGGTGAGTGGGAGGGATGGCGTCCTTTAGATTGGTGTTTGTTTTTCGTTGGGTATCGCCATTACCTCTGTTTTCTAAGTATTCACCTGAAATCCAGTGTTCACTACCTCTTCTGACAACTTGTGCCAGATCAGAAAAAAATCTTCCGCAAAGTCCAGATATGCTGAGGTATTTTTACGGTCCAACGAATGCGTATCTTCCCACTTCTCATGGACTGATGCATGATCCATCTCACAAGGATCACGAAGATGATCAGTGCTTATAGGGAACCGCTTAACTTCTCTCAGCATTTGGTTGTGAATTAATAGGCATGTGGCTCTGTATTCATCACGTATCTTTTGAATGAGCTTTGTAAACGTGATATGCGTCCACAGTCTATTTCATAAGCCTGTCACCCAGATAACAACAAATCACATTTTGTCACATGATGAGCGTCAACTAATCAGGATCCAGCATGCTGTTGGCGCCTATTATTCAAGCCTATTTACTGGATCAAAATTTGTCATACAGTCTTGCACTTTGCGTAACTTGTCTCTCGCTTTGTTTTGGAAATGCATGCTTCAAAGCCTACTGTGTGAATCTTCTGGAATTTACTAGCTTTGGGTCAGGAGATAATCGACTGGGAAATTATCAAGCGTTCACCATCGTCAGTCAGCATTCGTATTCTCACTTGGTGACGTCATGACAAAATATCTTGAGGCGTTGCAATCCGTTGTGTTGGAGCAGTCAACTAATTAATTCTTGGTCAATACTGTTAAAGGCTTTTCCAAAGTCGGTGAAGTTGATTTACAGAGTTGACTGTCATTCTAGGGTGTATACGATGACAATTCGCAGTGTTCAGGTTCGGTCCACAGACGACTTGTTCTTCCGGAATCCATCAGTGGATACAGAGCTACCAGTGAACACTAGCCAATCGACGAAAAATAGAAGTCTTCTAGACCATAAATTCACAGACAGCCCACCGAAAAAGCAACAGGATTAGATGGGACTTATCAAGAAGCAGTTAAAACAGATCCAGAGCCATCTGCAGAAATGCTCACGGCTTTACTTTAGAGGATGTGGTAGGAAAAGTTGGTGCTTACCGACTGGAAGAAGGCCTACGCTGCCAGACTGCGACTTCTTATTATGACTTCTTTCAGAAGGAGTATGCAGAACGAAGTGGAGATGTATTAAACACACTCCTGAGACACTGTTGAGTCACACAACACCCCAGACTCTCTAGTGGAATCTGAATGAGAAGTAACATTTTGAGCTTCTGCATGTGATACGGAAATGACATAAAAAGAATGAATAGCTTATATGAAATAGTGCGGTTATTTGAAACATTCGCCAGAAAAGAGATTGCCATAATGATGTGCTGCTGAAGCATGTAACATGTCCATATATTAGGATAATTGATAATGAAAATGGAAATGAAAAAACACGATAAGATTCTTACTATTGCATGAGAAATAGATACTAGAAACTATTTAACACTCAACCTCACTTTTGTATAAAACGGATGTATTTGGGAGAATCTCCAACACCAACAGTTCACCAAGGTTAGTACATGCCACTGCAAAATATCTTACTTCGCAGTTATTCCCACTGGAAAGCATTTGTTTTTCACCAAAAGTTGACCAATTATTAATGCATTCATGGTTGGTCAATTGCAGTCGTTCTTCACCCACCAAACGTAGACGTCCAGCTATATTTTTAAGACACCCCAGTTTCGCATTATTGATTTGAAGTTTTGGTGAAGTCTCCTTTGAACCTCGAAGGATGATATTTAAGGGTGGTGCATAGGATAAACTTTCATTTACAGTCTGGAAACTAGGATTATGCGAAATATGTTCGTAGGCTTCTTGTGGGCATTTGTGCGATCTCAGTTGAATACAATAAATTGTGGTACATTTTCTTGATATTCTGGACTGAATACATTTTAGAGAACAGTAGTTTAATGTAATGCAGGAAATAATTCTAATTAATATTAACTGACTGAAGTTTTTGAATTGCTCATTATTTTATACCGATTGCTTAAATGAGGCCAACAAATTATTTTAGAAGTTAAACAAGCCTCAAAAATTTTTGAGGTTATCACACATTCAATATAACCTACTATTCCATTATGTTTTCTTCGTATTTAACATAATAAAGTACACATAAATTATATCTATGTTATATTTGTTTCATTTAGGAACTTAGTGCTTAAACTCGAGGAAAATTAGCGGATAAAACATCAAAGTAAGTTCAGTCAGTTCATGAAAGTTTGACACATAAGTAATTAGATATCGAAATTCACTATTAGTTCATTTCAAAAGACCCTCAGTATAAGGTTTGATTTATCAAGATATCTGCCAACAGACCAATCCCTTTTACATTAACAGATAGAAGAAGCGTTGATACTAAATAACTACCCTATAAAATTAATTAGGAAGATCATGAAAGGTCAAAAGCAAAATAAAAAGAATGGGGAAACTAATAATGATAACACAGATAAGAAAGAATATAAGGCATCTACAGTTATACTATATAAGGACGGGACATCTGAGACCCTACGTAGGATTCTTAATGAAGCAGGAATTAGGGGGGCATTCAAACCTATAAACTCACTCAGAGACAAGCTCTGTAGGCTAAACGACCCGAAGGATCCAATTAAAGAAAATAATATAATTTACAAAATACCTTGCAATGACTGTGAGTTAAGTCAACAAAATAGGTCAAACTAGTAGATCGGGTGTAGTCAGACTGTCAGAACATAAGAATTTAGCTAAGGTTAGAACGATTGATCCCACGAAGATAAGTAATTTAGAAAAGAGCTCAGCAATTGCACTGCGTGCATCAACGCAAAGCCGCACAGTAGGTTGGGAGAGGGTTAAAATTCTAAGAAGTAATATAGATAGGTGGAGAGAAAGGTTGATTACTGAATCTTTGTTCACCGAATCTATACCTAACACATGCAATAGGAATTACTCATAACTCATACTAGAGATATGGAAAATACTACTACCAATCAGATCAAGAGATAAGAAACAATGGAATTATGTGAACGACTTTGGAAAGTTGTGTGAGTAACCTGATATGATTATTGGCAATATACTGTGCTCGAAACGTCATCAGTAAATATTACTGTATTGCAGTGGGAGACTTTATCAAAATAAATTTTATCCACAATGGAACAACAATATTTTATTTTTCTCTTCACACAGTTATTTTAATTTAGGATTTAAACTAGACTTCATTTCTGCATTACGATTATGATTTAATGCTAAATTGTAGTAGATATTCACTGAGACGATAACCTATTCAAAAGGTTCCCGCACTTATTCCCTTTAATAAAGTAAGAACAACAGTTTGTTTAAAATAAGATGGTATCATCATGTATTTCGTTGGCTTCTCATCAGATGTGTACAGCCTAAAGAAATTGTTAAGTTTATATACAGAACAGTTTTAACATACTTGCAAATGTTGCATAGTGTCAGTTGGCACGAGACTTCAGACTCAATAAATAGTGCTCAGAAATAGCACTTAGATTGTTTAAACTAAGAAAGTTCAAGTGTGGACAAAAAATAGATGCTTAGATACAATGGTAGAAGACTTATGCAATAAAGACAAGACGTGAATAGGATGGTGAGTAACTAATAAATTGAGTTACAATATGGCGGTTTCAAGTCAAATCACAGAAACAAGAAACAACCAAGGTTACACTATATTAAAGGGTGGAGACGTTAAAGACTACGTAATCAAATGAAAGAGAGAGACATGCACATACAGAAAATTTTAGAATTCAATCTTCGAATCGTGAAGTGTTTTATTACCCTAGTCCAGACTATGGCAACGCTTGAATATCGAATTCATACCTTATGAAAGATGCATCCATATAAGATAGGGTATACTAGAATTTCAGCTACACAGACTTAACCATTTTGACACAATTTTTGATAAGTAGGTTGAACAGCAGCATCACGAGACTCCGGATCAGTGGCTGCTACCTTCAGGTAATTGCTTGCCTTGCCTATCACAAGGAACTAAGTAGGCTAGAGCTAATGTTTTTTCAAGTCCTGCCATGTTGGAATGGATATAATAGCAGTAAAGCGTTTCTGTGGAACAACCACCTCATCAGCTAGGCTGTCTCTCCTCACTAATAAGGGTAGCTGACCCCAGAGACTGTTCATCCCGATATATCTCGCAGCTGTTCGTAGTCGATGATCAGATCTTAATACGGACATAGCTGTGAAACCACTCTAAACAGGTCGCACTTAACCAGCATCAAGGAGTTTTCATCTCGGCGCTTCGGTCACGTAATACTAATGTCCCTTCTGCTTCGGGTACCCCGACAAAAAATCAACTCTGACGGTATGGACAGCCTGGAAGCAAAAACCACCCACACACTTCCATAAGCACAAACGTCTTTTCCAATCATCACCGACCACCATTTTCTTGATTTTCTTCCACTCTTATTACTATTCCACAAGTAGTTCCTTCACCTCCTCTAGCTCCACCACCATTTATAACGAACACGGCGAGAGAAGTGCTACAGAAAGTCTCTTAAAAATAACCACACCAACAGTGTATTTGAGCATTCAAAGTCAGGACCCTGTGCCAAATCAGTCAATGGAACTAAACAGTCAGAAGTTTGGCGTCTCGAAAAATAGAGGTACCTTGTATTTCGGAGGCACGTATACAGGACCCATGTGGGGTTATTCACTTAACCCCAATTCGCTCAAATGTTGAATCCACAAGATCAACCCCAAGAATTTCAAGGAGTTCTTCGGCTCGACTGCATGGATTCACAGATGTAGAGATAACAGTGAGGACTGGAGCAGAAGAAATGTTTCTTGGTTGGATATTAGAGGACAGCCGTAAGTCGTCAGGCTAAGTCGATCCGTGAGAACAAGTAAGGGTTGTGACATTCGATGTATTGTTAACTATCAGGAGTTCGGACGAAGTAAAGAGTGAACTGTCTATTTTGTTACTAAAATCAAAAAGTTAAGAAAAAGCTGTTCTAGCAGGTGATCACAATGCTCAAGTAGGAAACTGTATTAGTCAGGCAGCTATGATAATGGCATCCATTAAGTCATATGCCAAAAAACCAACAGAGGTGATCGATATTTACAGTTCTCTTCAGATAATCATCCGTTCTTCGTCAGGACCAATTTTCGGTATTAGGAGAGACTTTCCAATCTTCAGTGTAAAATAAACGATAGAAATAAATAAACCACGAAGCAATAAGCTAGTGCTAGGAGAGAATCGGTTGAAAATTGCTACCTCTTCTGAAACCCTGTGATCACTGAATAACCCAGGTATGTATTACCACTAGTAAGGGGAAATAGAGGAAAAGCAGACGCAAAACTGCTACTCACTCACCAGCTAAGTGAGAGAAGTTTATTTAATGAAAATATAACCAAATGCCTATCTGAGATTTACAGAAATACCCACCACCAGAAAAGTGCTGGTTTATATCCAATGTGTTGATTAAATACGATAAAAATTGGTGACAGCCAGGAAAGGTAAGCGAGTGCCAGCACATTTCTGCTATTTATCAGAATATCACAATGTCATTCTGTTGAGAGAAGAACACATAGGTTCAACATCACGTCAGTACTCTGTTCTATTTGCTGCTGTCCTCCTCAGTTAGGCCCATGATCGCCCAGAGTATCACACTTACTCCTCACATGATCGCCTCCATGTCACCCTCAGACACACACCCAACTAGTCCGTTCCCACCTAGGTTCCACTCGAGCTAAGACTGGCACGCACAATGTCACCAACGGTCTCCTCAGCGTGTGACCAATCCTTCTCCATTCTCTCCTACATATTTGTTGAGCAATAGATTCTTGGGTGGTTTGTTCCCAGAGTTCCTTGTTGTCAATTCTTCCTGGCCATACGATCTTCAACATGGAGCGAGCGAAGCTAACCGTTGGTAAAAGTCTGCAGTATCCCGTTGGAAATGCTTAACATGACTCGTCCGTGATTAGTTTCTGACCGATATAGAAGAAGAGACTGACTGACCTGACACTCATGTTGAAAATCCGAACTGCTTTCTTTATGTGAATTGCAGTAGACTTCCATACTGATTTCAGAGCAATGAAGGTCTGTCTTCCATTTCCGATCCTGACTGGCTTCCACATCCTCATCCGTGCCACCTGTAGTTGAAAGAAGTGATCTCCTCCAGATTTCTCCTCTCGACAATGATCGGTGCTTGTTGCCGTTGTTGGTCGGCTGTCTTCACCACCTCCATCTTCTCTATGTTCACTTGAAGTCCTGTTCTGTGTCTTCGCCACCAACCTCGTCTGTCAATTTATTGGATTCCGCCCACAGATCTTCGAGTTCTTGGGACATTAGACACAAATCATCCACAAAATCCGGATCTCCTAGAGTCTTCTGATCGGTGAGTGCAGTGTATTTCTCTCATCGCCCCTTCCACAGCCTGTCTGTCGCATGATCCACCCCACCACAATCAGGAATATCGTCGTGATAGTAGGGAGCCTTGTCTTATTCCCGTCCTCACTCGAAAGGTTTCTCTGAGTTTTCCGCTGTGAATCGCCTGACATGTGCCATTGTCATATAGCCAGCTGTTGAATGAGGTCGACGAAGATTGGGGACACTGCACGCCACAGTGTTGAAGCAGTCTCCAAATCACTTCTCCGTCTGCCCTATCGAAGGTCTTTTCAAAGTCGACGAAATGAGGTAGAGGTTCGACTGCCATTCTATGCTCTATCCGATGATGAAGCAGAGAGTTGCAATTTCATCCGCACACGATTTGTCTTTCCTCAATCCAACTTGTTCCGGTGGAGCAGATTTCTGCATCCAGTGCGTCGTCTATTCGTTCCAGGACGACGCGACTTAGTACTTTAGTTGGCGTGGACTGGAGCATTGTTTCGTGCCAGTGCTCTCAGAGGCCTCAGTCGTCTTTCGTTCGTAGTTTGACAGGGTAGCCTCTCTTCCAATGAATAGGAGCCTTTCTTCCCTTCTGAATGATTTGCAATAGCGGCGTCAGCATATCCGCTGCAATCTCTTGTTGCGTTTCCAGTACTTCAGGAGGGAGCCTCATCCGGTCTTGCCACATTCCAGTCTGGCCTTCACTAGCTCGATTGCATCCGAGATTTCTGCTTTCATTGGAGGACTGGTTTTCGCTGCCTGGTAGTTTTGTGCGTGCTGTTGGTGGTGGTGGTGTGTTTCTGTGCGAGTTGCAGATCACAGTGGATTCAATAGTCCTTTGGAGTGATCAGTCGACTGCTTCATTTGTTTCTCCTCCTTGGTAATTGGCTTACCCTCACCGTCTTTAATTGATTTCACATGTGTTGGTCTCTTTCCGAATAGAAATGTCCTTATCTGATATAATGTTCGGACGTCTGTTTTGCTTGTGGCGTGTTTTGCTTCACTTTCCAGTGTGTCTTTCCTATCATCCTTCAATCCTTTTTTGAGTTTCCGGTGTTTCAGGAGGGATTCTATTCTGTTGCTTCATTGAAAGTGATGAAATAGATGAGACTGTTTCGGGCAGGCTCTCAATGTGACGAGGAGCGAGTGGTTCTCATATCCTACGCTAGTCAAATTGAACTTCCGCATGAGTCAGAATCCAAGTATATGAGTTAGCTGCGCTAATAGACCATATGTATTCTTTCATATATATATGCAGGTAGGTAGTTACGGGGTCGAATTTGATTTATATAAGGTATACATTTTTAATAGGTGAAGCATCAAAAGTGCAAGGGAAGTTCTGGAAGCCTGGTACTCAGATGAGTCAGCAATTAACAATCAAGTCACTTTACATGGAGTAGTACCGACTAATAGATAATGAATCACATGAATAGGAAGTTAAAATTCCAAGTAAATAAAAAATGTTCAGCGTAAATTTACAGCCAATCATAACAATGGTTCCCGGGATATACAATTACATCATTCTTGGAGAATTCAAACAAGTCCACTGTATATTAAGGCCTGAGTTGAAAATGTTGTCCCGAAGGACAACAAAAGTTTGTAGTTAAATCAATCAGCTCAGAGAACACAACAAAATAAAAATCATCTATCGGGCTACATTTCTTCTCCATTATATCTGAAAAGTCTCTCAACGACCGCAAATAACCTGAAATGACATATAATAACGAGATATAAGAGGTACCAACAACTGTCAGCGCCATACAACTGTTCATACTCATTAAGGAGGCGGGTCGAAAAAACTATTGGCAAGTGAAACGATTCCTGAGAAAGACAATATTTTTATCACATCTCAGGACACGCGATTGAGACGTTGGAAAGAACACTTCGAGCAGCAATTTAGCTGGGCTACAACCACGCTTAATTTGTCTTGCGTCCATGACCTACCTGAATCGGATGCAGACATCAGCCCTCCAACTGCAGCCCCGTCTGTAATCTGAAAGAAGGCAGAGTATTGGGATCTGATGGAATGACTGCGAAAATGTTTAGGTACGGTTGTGATGGATTGTTGCCTGGGTTAACCATCAACCAACTGATGTTTGGGTATCCAAGAAAGCTCTATTGGATTTCTACAAATTATTGATTATCTCAGTTTACGATGGACACAAAACTCCGTGAAATAATCGTAGTGGCATGTGCTTGAATAACACAGTATCGAAAATTCTAGGATCAATAATCCTGTGTAGACTAAATGGTACTCAGGAGAAACATATCAGTGGAAGTAAGGAGGGCTACATTTCTAGAAAAGAGTTACATTTATCATATCTTTACCCTTCGACAGATTCTGATATACAAACTTTCCTAATGGTATCCAACAATTATCATATTTCTTGACATGAAAGCAACTATTGGTCATAATCATTTCATCATATGATGAAATGATTATGACCAATAGTTTGTGCTCGAAACGTCATCAGTTAATATAACTGTACAACACTGTGTGATTTATCAAAATAAAATCTTAACCATTATGGAGTTATACTCTACCACAGTGCCCAAGTTTTATACTTACATCGATTCCTTCTTTATGAACTGACAAGTTCATCAAATTCCCACTAATCTTGATGTACCAATTGTTTCTCCCGTACATTTTTGTTCATTATGGATGTTTTTAATTTTTTTCTCTATTGCATTATGTGCTGTATATAGCGTGACTTCTCCAACTGCTGCATTTTCCTGCAAAGTTTTAAGCTGAAACCTCAGTTAGTAAGTTATGATAAAGTTGAACTGAATTAACGAGCAAAATACACCTTCCCTCCTAGTGTTCCATCAATTTTAAACCCATAAATTACACACCTACGTGTTTTTGGAAGATATTAGTCGTACATTCTTTTAAATATTAGGACGACTTAAGCAGTTATTTATTGTTGACCAAAAGAATTACAATGAGTGTTAATTACCTGGCGTTCTCTATTTTATTGACACTTTGTATGCATAGTGATTGGTTGATTATTACTCAGACAGATGATTATAAATAAAATATTCCAAATACATGAAGCTAATTCTCATAACTGTTGGTACTTGATGTAAAAGATATTGTCTATGTAGGCAACTTACTTGACGCTCTCGACTGTCAGAAATTTCAGACGTGTAGCAACTACTGAGGCCATTCAACTGCATGTAAATTTCATCAGAAAATATTTTAGACTTGACTGCTGTATCAAGCTTGGATTGCACATCTACGTTTACAAAATCGACAGCTTCGTTAGAATTAGACTTGAAAGAATTCAAAAGTGAAAGTCTCCTCGATGGAAAGAATAATTTTTCAGTTGTTTCAGTAGATCGATCAGGATCTATCGGTGACTTAATAGAATGTTGATCAGTTGAATCACTAAACAATTGAAAAACCTTCGGTTTCCTGGTAACTTTCCTGGGACCAATGAAATTCACAAAGTAATTAGTGTTTTAAAAATGATGATATAATATTTGCAGCTTATACTAGTTTTAACTGTAGCTAATTATCATTTTGGTGTTAACATTTCCGAAATAATGAAAGACAGGATGGTTTCACTGAAGTCTCACTGTTGAATTGTTTCGTCACTATTTGTGTTCCATGTGGTACACAGGGCTTCAAGTTTCGTTTTGGAGTTTCAAGGGCGGTGGTGTTGCTTTAACACGGTGGGGCTGCCAAACTCACTTCCATCTTTCCGGGTCTGCTAGTGGTTAGCGAACTAGGCGAAGTTTATGGATGTGTCAAGAGGAAGTCGTCTTTTGGTGTTGAGAAAAGTCATGGTAAACTGAAAATAATCGATATCAAAGTTTATATGTGGTGGCTCAACCTAAGTTCGGCTTTTGAATACTGTGTTGTCGAATATTTGAACAGGTGATAAGTGCAAATATACATGACAGGTGTGACGTGTGATTTGTAAACCTTGTTGCGTGCTACTGATATTAATCCTTACAGCGTGTGTATTCGTGAAATTAGTTCATGGGACTCAAATGAAACCAGGAAAATTCATGTTTATTCCACATTCCTATTCAGGTAATTTCGACTGTATTTTAAATGAAGAGATTTCAATACAAAGTGTTTTTATACAAATTTTGAAAGTTTTAAACAATTTCAGTGTTATCAGAATTGACCTGACAATATGTCACTTAGAGTTACAGCTAGAGGCATTCATAGTTTTTCGAGTTTTACCTGATTCTCCATAGCTTATACATTTCTATTCGCTTTAAATTTGATTTCTTGAGAGGTTTCTTCTATCTTCTATTGCCTATATGTGTGCACGTTTTGTTTTATAAGCATAGTCAAAAACTGAGTAACATGGAACTCTGTCCTTCAAGGGAATTAGCGAGATTTGTAGCATCCTTCAAATGTTAAGGAAGACTCTGATGTTGAATTTGTCAAGAATCCTTTCGATTTTATTTCAGATGTGTGATCTGTATGGGATAAAATCTGTGGTTACACATGATTTTGGAGTATTCTGTCGGTCGCAATCAATGTGATTCAGCTGTCTGTGAACATAATGGAATAACTGAGATTCTGTTATGAGGAAAATATGATCAACGGTTGGCAATGTTTTATGCCTGAAACATTAGGCTCCTAAACATATTCTCCTCCCTATGCATCAAGAAGCGAGTGTGTCTGGAGCAAAACCTGTGACTGCACTTTCTGACATGGTTTCATTATTTTTTTTAAACTACCAAAATGCATATGACTCTGGCACAAATTAATGACTGTGCACACAGTCGACACTAAAAATGATCAAGGTTTTTTCACGGCATTTTCGTTTCTAATAGTCTTCAGAGTTTCATCAACTGCCATCTTAGCTCTGTGCTAAAGGTCAATTGTCAGGGAACGATTAGCCATAAGGAACCAACTAAGAAACTGTCGCTCAACATATATCACAAAGATGATGGAAATGAATAGGAAACAAGCTGAGAAGACCGCTGACTGACGCCAAACACCAGGCTCATTAGTAGGACCTTAATTGGTAACAACCGTCGATGACATGGAGAAGATCGTCTGACGAGGAGCTTATGGGAAAACATGGAGACAGTTAGAAAAGACTATGGAGAACAGGGTGAAGTGGAGGCGGGTTGTTTAGGCCCCATGTTATGCTCAGAAACTAAGGGAATTATATATAATTAACTAATTACATTTATTTTGCTGTGCTTGAGAAGTAATATAAAAAATTCAATATTCCTTAAAAGAATTCACTGCCCAGAAAAACTTTCAAAAACCTAACAAAAGCGTTCAGAGTAATTCAAGTTCAACACTCGCAAACTGAAGGAAAAAACCACACAGAATATATTCACTGAAGTTATCAAACCGAAGCTGGAGTGACTGCAAAGTATCACTGAGTAAACTTGCAACGATGATCACTGGAAATTCCACTCATTTAATGCATCGCCGTTAAAGAGGGAAAAAATAGGTAGGAAAAGAATTCTTTCAAAAGAAAAGTGGAAGCTAACAGAATAGAGGAAGATGTTGAAACAGAGGTTAACCAATGCAAAGAGGGACAACAGAAGAAGAGGCTGAATCCAATGTAGAAAGTAACAAATATGGAGGTGAAGAAGGATAATAGAAAAGACACACTGGAAAGTGAAGCAAAACACGCCACAAGCAAAACAGACGTCCGAACATTATATCAGATAAGGACATTTCTATTCGGAAAGAGACCAACACATGTGAAATCAATTAAAGACGGTGAGGGTAAGCCAATTACCAAGGAGGAGAAACAAATGAAGCAGTCGACTGATCACTCCAAAGGACTATTGAATCCACTGTGATCTGCAACTCGCACAGAAACACACCACCACCACCAACAGCACGCACAAAACTACCAGGCAGCGAAAACCGGTCCTCCAATGAAAGCAGAAATCTCGGATGCAATCGAGCTAGTGAAGGCCAGACTGGAATGTGGCAAGACCGGATGAGGCTCCCTCCTGAAGTACTGGAAACGCAACAAGAGATTGCAGCGGATATGCTGACGCCGCTATTGCAAATCATTCAGAAGGGAAGAAAGGCTCCTATTCATTGGAAGAGAGGCTACCCTGTCAAACTACGAACGAAAGACGACTGAGGCCTCTGAGAGCACTGGCACGAAACAATGCTCCAGTCCACGCCAACTAAAGTACTAAGTCGCGTCGTCCTGGAACGAATAGACGACGCACTGGATGCAGAAATCTGCTCCACCGGAACAAGTTGGATTGAGGAAAGACAAATCGTGTGCGGATGAAATTGCAACTCTCTGCTTCATCATCGGATAGAGCATAGAATGGCAGTCGAACCTCTACCTCATTTCGTCGACTTTGAAAAGACCTTCGATAGGGCAGACGGAGAAGTGATTTGGAGACTGCTTCAACACTGTGGCGTGCAGTGTCCCCAATCTTCGTCGACCTCATTCAACAGCTGGCTATATGACAATGGCACATGTCAGGCGATTCACAGCGGAAAACTCAGAGAAACCTTTCGAGTGAGGACGGGAATAAGACAAGGCTCCCTACTATCACGACGATATTCCTGATTGTGGTGGGGTGGATCATGCGACAGACAGGCTGTGGAAGGGGCGATGAGAGAAATACACTGCACTCACCGATCAGAAGACTCTAGGAGATCCGGATTTTGTGGATGATTTGTGTCTAATGTCCCAAGAACTCGAAGATCTGTGGGCGGAATCCAATAAATTGACAGACGAGGTTGGTGGCGAAGACACAGAACAGGACTTCAAGTGAACATAGAGAAGATGGAGGTGGTGAAGACAGTCGACCAACAACGGCAACAAGCACCGATCATTGTCGAGAGGAGAAATCTGGAGGAGATCACTTCTTTCAACTACAGGTGGCACGGATGAGGATGTGGAAGCCAGTCGGGATCGGAAATGGAAGACAGACCTTCATTGCTCTGAAATCAGTATGGAAGTCTACTGCAATTCACATAAAGAAAGCAGTTCGGATTTTCAACATGAGTGTCAGGTCAGTCAGTCTCTTCTTCTATATCGGTCAGAAACTAATCACGGACGAGTCATGTTAAGCATTTCCAACGGGATACTGCAGACTTTTACCAACGGTTGGCTTCGATCGCTCCATGTTGAAGATCGTATGGCCAGGAAGAATTGACAACAAGGAACTCTGGGAACAAACCACCCAAGAATCTATTGCTCAACAAATATGTAGGAGGGAATGGAGAAGGATTGGTCACACGCTGAGGAGACCGTTGGTGACATTGTGCGTGCCAGTTTTAGCTCGAGTGGAACCTAGGTGGGAACGGACTAGTTGGGTGTGTGTCTGAGGGTGACATGGAGGAGATCATGTGAGGAGTAAGTGTGATACTCTGGGCGATCATGGGCCTAACTGAGGAGGACAGCAGCAAATAGAACAGAGTGGACACATGATTTTAAAGCGATTTTTTGCATTCGAACGTCGAGGGAGGAATTTTTGTCTTAAGATAATTTAGGATCATATTTGCAATGCACACATTCTTGTGAGGATGTTAAGTTCTTTGCGCTTATCTGTTGCTTTTTATTCTTTGTTTCCTAACTGTTTTTCATCCTATGGCTATCTATCTCCTGAATACCAACAATTTTGTGTGAAATTACATAATTTTTTCACTACCTTCTCAGTCTTCATTTCATTTAGAATGGTGAACTTATTCCTTTCAGCGTGCTATGTTTTATTCGTCTTCTTAGTCTCTTTTTTGTACGCATTTCTTCACCAAGTGGCATGATATGGAATCATGCAAAGGACATATAAATCCTGCCTTAATAATCCTTTTTCTCTGTTTTGAATCAGTAACAGAAATAAGAAATTCACATCACACATCCCCCAATGCCTCGTAAAATCCAATATCGTCTTGATTACTTATTGATGTTTGTGACATCATTTAAGGTGTCTTAAACATAGTGTGTACATACTGGAGCACTACCTTCACCGAGGAGAAATGTAATAAGAAACTGGAACAGTTACTTATTTTCTAGTGGATAATAGAGAAACGCAGGACTTATCAGCTGGATATGCATCAAAATTTTATTGACCAACATTTTTGCTGTATTCAGAGGATACTCTGGGCTGCAATGCAGAATCCATTATGAATCTGACTGTTGATAGGAGTCATGTACTTTTATTGGCTGACGTAAATGGGATATACAGAAACAAAAGTTAGATTTTTATGGCATTGACCTTGAGATGGGTCACGTGCCATAGGTGTATAAATTAACTTTCCAATCTCGAAGTATTAAATAGATTCACTGAATTTCATTTAATCATACTTTCAGCTACTTCTTCCCGTGATTTGTCCAAGTGTGGTGACTTGAATTTAAATATTTTCGTGTACATTTCTTCTTATTTGTCTAAAGGATTAACATCTTTTTCTCTAATTTAAGCATGTCCATTCATTAGATGAGTTGAACACAATGAAATTAATTGATGCATTTCGACTTCAACCATCATATATATTTTTTCACACCTTTTCGATTTTATGTATTTGATGATACATGTAATGTTTTTTATTCTCAGTATTTAAGTTGCATGCATCTAGAGAAGATTGAGGTTCATGGTTGACTTACATGCATGATGTAATATGAAAAAAGACAATAAAGTGCTTATTACCACTATTATTTCTACCCAGGCATAATCAGTCAGTTACCGAAATATAGTAGGAATTCTATGAATTTTATTGTTGAAGTTGTTCAAGACAAAATCCATCCAAATTGTAGCCTGACATAGTAAGGAGATTTATCAGTGATAAGTTGAGATTTCCACCATAACACTATAAAGTATTCATGTTAAAACAAGAATATTTTATAAAGTTATATAACTAACTGAAAAATAATGCTTATCTATTTCTTAAAACCACGTAATTTAGAAGCGCAAAGAGAAAAACCTAGTCTAGAAATCTGTGATTACCTACCTTGTAGTCAAACGTTTATTAGAAATATCAGTAGAGTTGATGCATTTTACAGTTTCGTTCATATTTACCGTCTTACGATCCTTCACCTTAGAGTTTATTTTCTGTAAAAGTGTAACGAAAGGTAAATTTGTTTCTGTGAATAAACTGTTTACCTTCTTCCGATCCGCGCAGAAGTTTTGAGTTTCGCACAGTTGAATTTTCTGAAAATAACAGTTGTACAAATTACAACGAATTTATTAGTCGATATTTCCAGAAAGATAAGCATTCATGAACTAAACGAATAGGGCTAAAAAATTAATTCATTAGAGATATATTATATGGAGGGATATGGGTTTTGTTTACCAGATCGTAGATTTTGAAACACTCAGAGGAGGGGGGTGAACATCTCATAAAGCAATTTAAAATACTGTAGAACGCTGAAAAATCACTCAGAATATAAAGTTATTCCTTGAAAAGCAGTATTCATAACTTTAGTTATGTTTATTTTGAGACCATTTTCGTTTAAAATATCTTTCTAAATAGTCATTTGAAATTTCTTTGAATGACTTCAGATACAAGAAATCTATGTCGAGATAAACCTTACAATAAACATATCCACGTCTACTGGTTACTTTCATCATGAAACAAAATAACTGTTCAATAGATATTTACATTATTCAGTATTGAGAAACGGTTTAACAGTTAGGTGTTGGGTTTGTAGGCTTGTGATCAGCTTAAACGCAGATTTCCTCATGAATCAAATTTAGATAGAGAACCTCAAAACTAGAACAAAACAGTTATCCAGTTTTCTGTATTAGGTAAAAGAAAATCGTGGAACCCATAAAACTTGGAAAAGTCCATCCTATTTTTTCAGTCTATTCCTCCTTACTGCTTGAGATGAAAGAAGGTCATAGGACTACTTGAAGTTGGGTTAGTCAGTGGAGTCAAACAGTTGTGTTACCAAAACTCAGATATAGTATGAAGTCTGCCCACATAACAGGGATGAACGTTTTTTCTATCTGAGCTCAGCGAGTAAACGAACTCAAAGTCGTTGAAGAAAGGTAACTAACTAGCGTCCTTGGTTTTCAGTAGTCTGCTGACTGGTGTCCGCCCATGATGAAATCTAAACTGAAAGAAAATTTCTAAAATGAAAACAATGTCACCTTGGTATACCTTTGATAAGGGTAGTAGTATTGACTGAAAGAAGGTACCACGCATTCAGTCACCAGTCTTTGAAACAATTAATCGGAAATACTACATTATCTTTGTTACTCTGGGAATTTATGGAGTTTAAATAGGGTGAAATGGGAAGTGGATAATTTTGGTCAAGTTGAGACATTACCATAATCCAACTTGTTCCTGAAAAATGGTCTAAACCCCATTTTTTCTTGAATAAAATCTCCAAAAAATTAAGTGAATGGTTGAAGAGTATATATGAAACATTGTCTGATACGTTCTGTATTAAGAAATAGAAACTGAATAAGATCATAGCCACATGATCTAAAATGCAAATTATTTATCACCCAGTATACTCTCAAATGTTTATGTATTCAGCGGATTTAATGATATTCTAGTAGTGCTTTGTAGGGGCTTAATTATCCTTAGACTTGATCACAAGATGACATCATTTAGAGAAACATTGAAAATCGATGATATTGTTAAATTAAGTAGAGCATAATTTGATACTTTGATAAAGCTATTAGCATTAAATAGCGAAACATCAGTAAAAACACTATCGTTTTGTTTTTCATTCATTGGGAAATACAAAAACCTTTATTATAAGTAGAGCATAGTTCTGTTGTTTAAACTGTCACCATTCATTGTCATGTAAATTAGGAACTAAACTGAATTATCAACATAAAATTTTAACAAATGGTCTGCAGTTTGAACTGCTAAACTTGACGAAACATGGCAGAATGCTGAGAGAAAAGGCACATAAACTATCATAAACAGAAAATGACGAAAGGAAGAATAGGTACATCGACAATAGTGGGAATTCAATGGATCTGTGATTTCATAAAGAGTGAATAGGTCTTGGACATTGGTAACGAATTTGAGCCATAACACTAAGAGGACCCTGAGTACCTCAACCAGACAGTTTATGCATCCCTGCGTTACTCAAACCAACAGTCAAAAAATTGATGATTTTACCACTCCTAGCTCTTCCTCAGGCTGATTCTATGTCAGCTAACAATGCTCGGTTAGAAGGCGTTGGTTAAGTATGTGTAACAAGTACACTAACAACCTTAATCTATGAGACTTCACAGTTTCATTCATTTACTTTCCCTCTTAATCCGATACTGTTTTTGCAGTGCATCTGTTGTACTATACTTCTAGCTTTCAGCTGGAGCTCAGAACCACCAACAACTTCATAGACTTAACGCCCCTATGTTTAAGAACTATTAACCTGAGGAGAAAGAGCTGTCAATATTCGTAGAATAAATAAAACACTATGTTTGCAGTATTTGACAAATTGTATATAAACGAAAGCCTAAGCATGTGGCCATCACGGAGCGCACGCCTAAACGACCATTTTTTCCATCATTCATTTGTCCGTCTAGTTAGCTATTACCATTTTCATCACATATTGTCTTAGATTTCTTCTGTTAGAAATTATATTTCTTGAAAAAAATTAATAAACCTGACCTCATATGGACTACTAAACTCGATCATATTACTGTTCAAACAAAATACGTTAATTAGGTAGTGTATTTCTATAGCAAGTGTAGTTATTATTATGTTTGCACTAGAGATTGAGGAATTTTCATGTCTAGTCAGCTGCGTTTAAAAAAAGACACACTCAAACTCCAAATAAACATTAAGTACAACTACATAAGGATATGTTAGCTCTAATTTAAGATATAGGGTTATATAAGAGCACTCAAGAAGTCAATATGTGTCCCATTGATTTTTTCTTCCAGTATTATCCCACCACATACTTTATACAACATATATATATATATATAACAAAAGTTTTCGTATTTCCCAACGAATTAAAAAACAAAACAATATTTTTTTACTGACGTTTCGCTATTTAGTGCTAATAGCATTATCTGTGAATCAAAAGATCTCACACATTTTAATGACACAACGAAATACACCGTCTAATTCCACCATATGAGGCCCTAAGAAATCTGAGAAAAGATAGAAGCATTGTTATAACTGAAGACAGCAGGCGAATCACTAGTGTGATTATGAAAAGAAGGCGACTGAACACCTATCCGATGAACCACACTTACTTTATGAAGAGAAGAAGAAATCTGCCGAATTCAACAAAATGAAACTAAATACAAACAGACTCCTTCAGAAAATGAAACCCAAAATTGGAAATTCTCTCAGGTTTAAACTAAAACCAAAATCTTATGTACCTTCAAGATTCTACGGTCAACCAAAGATAAGTAAACCCACAGTTATATTAAGACCAGTAGTAGATTTCACCAACCCACCGACATACAACCTCTCTAAATACTTATTTTTGATACTACAACCACTACAAAAGGACACTCAAAATATTGCAAGAAATTTATATGATTTCAACTCACAAATAGAACACGGAGAAATTGATAAAGAAGACATTATGGTAAGCTATGATATTAACTCGTTATATACTAGTATCCCTATTACTGAAAGTCTTGATATCATTTCCAATCTACTAGAATCAGATACAACGCTGTCACAAAAATGTTCATTGAACACCAGTGAAATAATTAAGAGTCTTAAATTCTGTCTGGAAAGTAATTACTTTACATTCGAAGGGAATTTATATAGACAGACAAATGGTGCTGCTATCGGTTCACTAGTTTCCCCTATAGTCACTGATATTTTCACGAATAGATTCGAAGATAACATCTTTTCAAGCATACTCAATCCAAAATATGTTCAAGATATGCAGATGATACTTTCGTTGTGCTAAAATGAGATCTACACAGTTCATTCTTGGAAAAACTGAATAACCTATCTTCCAGTATCCAGTTTACTTCAGAAGCAGAATCAGACTTCGGGGAGCTACCCTTTCTGCACTGCCTAGTTAAGAAGAGGGAAAACGGATATTTTAATATTTCTGTATTCAGCAAGAAAAACCAGTCCAACAAATATTTAGACTTCGAGTTATCACACCCCATCATCGCAAAGGTATCAGCTGTTCCAAGTCTACTTAGACAAGCACACTTTTTGATAACGAATGAGAAGGAAAATAAAGGAAGAAGAAATACCAGACAATACTGAAATTCTCAAGAAAAACAACTACCAGAAGAACTTCGATAACAAAATTACCTACGACATTAAGTACGGTCGAAAACGTATTCTGGAAACATGGGCCTCAGTAGTTGTCATTCCATATAGATCAGAAACGTCCGATGATATCAGAAGAGTATTTAATAAGCACAACATCAGATTTTCCTTCAGAACATCGGATACACTACAAAACACCCTTGTTCATGTAAAAGAACAAATCCCTAAGGGTTCTCACTCTAACTGTGTCTAAAAAATAAAGTGCCTGGAATGTGATGCGTTATACATGGGACAGACATCGTGAGCAATCGAAATCAGAAGAAATTAACACCATAAAGCATCTGTTTGACGACCGAGAAATCCAGTTGAACTAGAAAAGCTTGAAAAGTCATGAGCCATAAGTCTATACGCTAAAGACTCAGGCCACAAAATTGATTCTGACAATACTGCGAAATAATCCAGAAAAATTTCAGAAATCCCAAATAACGTCTAACATCAGAAGCACTTCATATAATAAAGGGATCCAAATTGTCTGAATAAGAATGATGGACTAAAACAGAATTTAATCTGGTTGCAACAATTTCACCCCCCTCCTCAATAAAATGACAAAATCAACACAAATGTAATAGGCACTTTCATAATATAAACACCCGCTGGTTTTATAACTTTGTACCCTTATCAAATCCGATAATCTACACATGGTTTTGTTGCCTTTGGCAACTGGGCAACTTGAGGACGTAAAATTACCCCATACTGATGAACGACGATTAAGTTGTTATATATAAGCTGAGATTTTGTAAATTCCGATTTAGTAATATATGTCCAAAGCAAGTTCACTTTTAACAGTTTGAAACAATTTGGGCATTGGGTATATGATATTCATTATAGTACAGGTTTTTGTATCACAGTGTTATTAAACCGGAATTTACAAAAATCTCAGCATATATATAACAAAGAGTTAGGAGGTGAGAAAATAGACTTTGGTCAAGTTAAAGGGACATATTGAAAGTCAAAATAACAATGAAGAGCACTAAACCAAATAACAAAGGTATTAGTACGTCTATTATGATATCAAAATAAAGTTTACTAACTTGATTATCGTTCGTCAGTCTGGGGTAATTTTTCGCTGTCAAGTTGGTCAATTGGTAAAGATGACAAAATTAAGTGTAGTTTGTTGGATTTGATCAGTATGTAAAATTATACAAACAGTGTGTGTTTACATAGTGAACTTGCTTATCACATTCGTGTTGATTTTGTCACTTCATGGGGGAGGGAAGTGTTTAGTAATACTTTGATAAAGCTGTTAGTATTAAATAGCAAAACATCAGTAAAAACAATGTCGTTTCGTTTTTCATTCATTGGGAAATACAAAAACTTTTATAATAATTAATATCATATACTAAATGCACAAATTTTTGAAATTTTTAAAAGTGCACTTGGTTTGTTATATATATATATATATATATATATATATACAAACACACGGGATGTTAGTCTCTCAAACCACAAGAGAGAATTCTACTTTTTCGTATATACACTTGTGTAGTTCTTTCTTATTTTATGTATTTACATGAGGAAATATGTGAAAATCATAATACCATGCCTTCGTCAGCGAATCATATAAAACCTAAAGATATCAGGAATAATCCAAGTCACTATGAAAACTTTTCAAATATGCATTATAAAATATTTACCTTTTCATTAATCCTGTGTTTTTCCAAACGTTTGTCTATTGATAAAATAAATCCCTCTCGTTTGCATTTCTTAGTTTTTGATGTTGCATTTTTGAAAAACTGTTCTGTACAATGATTTAAATGAAGTGGTTGAAATGATTCTTCTGACTGTGGTTTACTACAATAAAAGTGACCTTTAAGGTCAGGAAGCGATAATAAAGACTTTTCGGTGGAAAAAGCTAATGGATAATCATCTTTTCTGTTTTCATTACATCTTTCAACTGTAAAAGCTTTACAATTTGACAAGTTTACTTGAGGTAAAGATGGATTTTTATCCATGAAAGGAGTTGGTTTTACATGAAATGACTGTTTTGAACTACCAGGATATACAGAGTTATTCTTTCGTTTTTCATCTTGACTTTTTCCCATGTGTGTGCAGATTTGCTCCGCATAAATATTACTTGTGGTATCATTAAAGAAATTTGAAACATACAGAGGACGATCAGGTAATGACCCTGTGCTGATACGGGTAAACAGTGGGTGCTTTCCGGCATTTTGAAATTCATTATTTAGTGTCTTACTCTGCTCCCTTGAATCAGAAGTGACCGACTTTTTGGTGTGGATTGTGTATTTTCTATTCATCATATTTTTTCGACTGCCAGAGTTCATAATTTCATCCTCATCAACTGTGCTAACTGTAAACATGATGGCGTCCGCTGCCGGAAGTGAAATATCCGTGATAAGTTTATGAGTTCTATTTGTATCTGGTGTGGCTATACATAAATCTTCTTTGCGCTTACGACGATCTGCTAGAAAAAACTGAAAAAGCATATTGTTACTGACGCTGAAATTTAGTTTCTCACTTAAATTCAACGCTAATATCAAATACAAGTAACTTAGAAAGTCCCTGATTTTTCCCAGTTAAATTCGTAACAATTTAGCATAACAAGTTAGATAAATAAAAGTTTGAAGGTATACGGGTAAATACAGAGACTTTTCAAATTATATGGAATAATTAACCTTACCAGTTTGCTAGTTTTTCAGTCGATTGCAAGCCCGAGAAAAAACTGGCAGATTCGCGCTTAGAGCTACCTACACTACTTCGGAAAATCAATCCAATCACTACAGAAATTTCAACGCGCAACATACATATTAAATATATAAAAACCGAACTTATTTTTCGCTGCCGTTGGCGAGATGAAATGATACTGGCCGGTGAAAGCCTTCGAAAAGCCAGTCATACAATGTGTTTTATTCGATGAGAAGGAAAATAGTGATGGTGATGTGGTGTGTTCGTACAGTCTACGATGCTAGGAAGAATACTCAGGTAGCAGAAGAAATGAGAAAATACGGCGTGGAAATGCTAGGAATTTGCAACAGCCGGTGGAATGAAAGTGGAGAGTCACAGTTATGAACTGTAGAGACAGTAGTGTACCATGGTCACACAGAGGATATGGAATGGCTATCAATAGACACATGGAAGCTAACAGAATAGAGGAAGATGTTGAAACAGAGGTTAACCAATGCAAAGAGGGACAACAGAAGAAGAGGCTGAATCCAATGTAGAAAGTAACAAATATGGAGGTGAAGAAGGATAATAGAAAAGACACACTGGAAAGTGAAGCAAAACACGCCACAAGCAAAACAGACGTCCGAACATTATATCAGATAAGGACATTTCTATTCGGGAAGAGACCAACACATGTGAAATCAATTAAAGACGGTGAGGGTAAGCCAATTACCAAGGAGGAGAAACAAATGAAGCAGTCGACTGATCACTCCAAAGGACTATTGAATCCACCGTGATCTGCAACTCGCACAGAAACACACCACCACCACCAACAGCACGCACAAAACTACCAGGCAGCGAAAACCGGTCCTCCAATGAAAGCAGAAATCTCGGATGCAATCGAGCTAGTGAAGGCCAGACTGGAATGTGGCAAGACCGGATGAGGCTCCCTCCTGAAGTACTGGAAACGCAACAAGAGATTGCAGCGGATATGCTGACGCCGCTATTGCAAATCATTCAGAAGGGAAGAAAGGCTCCTATTCATTGGAAGAGAGGCTACCCTGTCAAACTACGAACGAAAGACGACTGAGGCCTCTGAGAGCACTGGCACGAAACAATGCTCCAGTCCACGCCAACTAAAGTACTAAGTCGCGTCGTCCTGGAACGAATAGACGACGCACTGGATGCAGAAATCTGCTCCACCGGAACAAGTTGGATTGAGGAAAGACAAATCGTGTGCGGATGAAATTGCAACTCTCTGCTTCATCATCGGATGAGCATAGAATGGCAGTCGAACCTCTACCTCATTTCGTCGACTTTGAAAAGACCTTCGATAGGGCAGACGGAGAAGTGATTTGGAGACTGCTTCAACACTGTGGCGTGCAGTGTCCCCAATCTTCGTCGACCTCATTCAACAGCTGGCTATATGACAATGGCACATGTCAGGCGATTCACAGCGGAAAACTCAGAGAAACCTTTCGAGTGAGGACGGGAATAAGACAAGGCTCCCTACTATCACGACGATATTCCTGATTGTGGTGGGGTGGATCATGCGACAGACAGGCTGTGGAAGGGGCGATGAGAGAAATACACTGCACTCACCGATCAGAAGACTCTAGGAGATCCGGATTTTGTGGATGATTTGTGTCTAATGTCCCAAGAACTCGAAGATCTGTGGGCGGAATCCAATAAATTGACAGACGAGGTTGGTGGCAAAGACACAGAACAGGACTTCAAGTGAACATAGAGAAGATGGAGGTGGTGAAGACAGTCGACCAACAACGGCAACAAGCACCGATCATTGTCGAGAGGAGAAATCTGGAGGAGATCACTTCTTTCAACTACAGGTGGCACAGATGAGGATGTGGAAGCCAGTCGGGATCGGAAATGGAAGACAGACCTTCATTGCTCTGAAATCAGTATGGAAGTCTACTGCAATTCACATAAAGAAAGCAGTTCGGATTTTCAACATGAGTGTCAGGTCAGTCAGTCTCTTCTTCTATATCGGTCAGAAACTAATCACGGACGAGTCATGTTAAGCATTTCCAACGGGATACTGCAGACTTTTACCAACGGTTAGCTTCGCTCGCTCCATGTTGAAGATCGTATGGCCAGGAAGAATTGACAACAAGGAACTCTGGGAACAAACCACCCAAGAATCTATTGCTCAACAAATATGTAGGAGAGAATGGAGAAGGATTGGTCACACGCTGAGGAGACCGTTGGTGACATTGTGCGTGCCAGTCTTAGCTCGAGTGGAACCTAGGTGGGAACGGACTAGTTGGGTGTGTGTCTGAGGGTGACATGGAGGAGATCATGTGAGGAGTAAGTGTGATACTCTGGGCGATCATGGGCCTAACTGAGGAGGACAGCAGAGGATAGAACTGAGTAGAGACGTGATGTTGAAGCCCTGTTTTCCACGTGGAACCGATTGAAATAATGTTATCGCTACTCGTCATGCTATTAAATGCTTAAGTCTATGCGTTACGTTTTCAAAAGTCTTTAAATTATGTCTTTCTCTAAGAAATTACTGAATATTGAACGAGATGCCGTGAAATGTTTTTATTTAGAATCTGAGTTAAATTAGTGATTTTTTTGAACCATTTTATCATTTTGCATCAATTGGTAGTGAAACTTTTTAAACTAACAATTCTCCCTATCACTCTCAGTCACTTATGTAATAGATATAGTAGAGTATGAGAATGGGAATACGAGCCATACAGAATCACCACCCAGTTTGTATAAAATGCCTTTTTCGAACGTCAGCTACTTTAACAATATAGTGAAATTTGATGTTGTGTATATCTGATTATTCTTGTCATCGGTTCTTTTAGCCTTTCTCTGCTTCTTTTAGTCCCTTCGAGCTGAGTGTATGTCACAACTCGCTGCCTTCGTATAACTGCTTGTATGTGACTGCAGCACATTGTAGTTATTTGAGGTCCCGTGGCATGTATTCGGACACCGTCAAGTTTGTTTTCCAAGAATTAATGTCATCTTGGGCAGTGTCTTCGTTGGTTTGAATGTGCTATGAATTCCGCCCAAGTGGCTGACAAACCACATTTCGTATTAGTTTTTTTATTAGGTATATCACACAGTGAAACAGTATTATTTACTGGATGACGTTTCGAAAAAAATTTATTGTTCATAATCATATCAATTGTGATCACACGACTTTGACACTTGAGTTTTATAGTTTTCTTTGTTCTCTCCTATTTGTCGTATGGGTAGTAGAATTTTTCAAATATCGGGGACAGGTGATGAATCATTCCTATTACATGTATTTGTAATTGATTCGATAAACAAAGCTTCTGTTATCAATCTCTCCCCATACCCTGTGACATTAGATTTTAAAACTGTCATCCTATCCCATCCTATTGTATGGTTGTGTGTGACTGCATGTAGTGCTATAGCTGAACTATTCTCTAGATTTCTTATCTTATTCGGGTCAACCAATCTAGATTTTACTAAACCATAAAACTCAAGTGTCAAAGTCGTGTGATCACAATTGATATGATTATGAACAATAAATTTTTTTCGAAACGTCATCCAGTAAATAATACTGTTTCACTGTGTGATATACCTAATAAACAAACTAATATGGAATTACTTACTACCACAGTGCCCAAGTTTTACACATATATTAAAACCACATTTCGATTTGTGTGAAGGCTGAACAACTAAGGTCGCTGACACCAGGACATCTCTTACTGTATCCATTTGGTTTAGGCCTAAATAAGAAAAATCAATCTTCTTGTTACTCTTCAGTATTAATAGACTTACTAATCTAATGGTACATAGACAATTGCTAACGGAAGCCCAGCCACGTAGTTTAATTTTATTTCGGTCAGTTACAACAATAATTCTTGGTGTGATGTCTAAATGAGAGCAGACGGACCACTTTTTCAATTGTTGTAACAAACAAATTAGTATATTTCGTTGTTTGCAGAAGTGAGTAAAAAAACTTGCGCAGTGCAAAATCGTATCATGCGAAAAGATCCAGTCACTTTAGTTCTGTCTTGCAATTTCAAGCTATAACAGTAAACAAATTTGCTAGTTATATAAGCGTATTCCCACACCTATAGGTTATTACGGAGAATGCACAGTAAAATCTTCCTTTCTACAATTAAAATCAGTTGATTCTTGCCAAGTATTGATTGAAAAAGGTAAACTAATTGGTGTCCCTTAAACGTGCACTGACTATTGTGGGTTAACTTTTATTGTAACTCAGATAAGCAGTGTTGAACAGCTTAAGAATACAATCCCATTGACAGTTGATCACATCAATGATTCGACATAAACGTGCTAATTTAGCAAAGAGGGAAGTATTTCGATTAGTTAAAAGGTAGAAATACTGTAAATTGCCATGAATTATCAACAGTATTATGTATGAAAGTAAAATGAAACCAAGTACTGAGAACAAGTAGCAGACAGGTTATCAACTTCTCACGAATGTCATTTACAACCAGTGACATTTTTCATTCTACAAATCCTTTGGAAACAAGATTTCTCGTTAGTGCACAGCCTCAAAAGTTCAGTAATAGCAGTTAACCAAATGAAAATAGTATCTGGGGACAGTTAAATATTTTAATGACGTTTGCAGCAATTCAAAGCATATAGTCCCAAAGAAACGAACACTATATATATCCATGTATGACCAGTAGAAAAGTCGGTCTATAGGTTGTCTCTTTATTTTGATGTGGACATCTTGTTACAAATGAAAATTTTTATGGATATTTGCGAAACGAAAATTAATATTTCCATCCCAGCTACAGCACACTACTGAGCTATGGCTCCACGTAGTTTTAGATCCTTATGGGCAATACGCAGAGCCTTTACTAGAATCATCAGAGATATGTTCACTTCTCTATATACATCTCCGGTGAGGTCAAGACTGGAAAACCGTATCCAGGTAGCCATTTCTTGTCTTGAAGGTGACTCACGTATTCTAGAGAGGGTTCAAAGGAAGGCAATACGTATGATTCTCGGCATGACTAATTTATGTACGAGGAAATACTAGAAAGTTTAAATCTCTTCTCCCTGTCATACCATAGTAGGCATAGGGGAGATTTAATTACAATATTTTACAATTTTAAATAATAACTACGGACCTGACCTATTCTCTCTGTTCCCTCCCACCGGATAGAAATATCTTAACGACATAGCAAGAGAGTTCACAAGCCAAGATCATATTGTTGTGCAGTACTGGTTCTCGCATCGAGTCATAAACTCTTGAAACTGACTTCCAGATGAAGTGGTGTCAGCAATCTCAACTGATTATTTCAAGAATGGTTTGGAAAAACACTGAAATTCACTAGAAAATGATTAAAATATGTTCATGACTTCTATCCTCGACCAATAAATCTGAATCTAGAATCTGGTTTGTTTTGGTGGATGTTTAAATGAATTTTAAAGAGCATATCAGAAATTATGCAACTTATAAAATTAACGATCTATTCAAATTACCAGATCACAAAGCATTTTTGAAGCAAAAGCTACTATTCTTTGGGCACTGCTGGCCTCATACTGTTGCATTGAAGAGGAATAACTGGGTACAGTTGGTGTAGAGAGCATTCTATAAAGATTACATTCGCAACTACGCAAAACTGAAGATACCTTAAACAGTCACATTGTTCCTTCTCAGAGACGGCAGAAACACATTCTGTGAACTAAAGAAAAGCGTTTACATAGTATAACAAAAAAGACCTTATGTGATAGCGGCGCTGTCTTAGGGTTTTCAGTCTTAATCTGAAAGTCATTAGAAAGCGAAGACAAACCGAATAGATTTGATGAATGCAATTTTCCAGCAATTTTCTTATTGTCTTTTCGAGCACTCTATCACTCTGCAAAGAACTCTTCACATGGAATTAGTGCATTAGCAAACTATTATACAAACTGATTCGATACATGAGAGTAATCGTCTGGTCTCCGGAAATTTTTCTAAGGACTTGTACATCTTTACTGTCCCCAAAATCCTTTTCTGAAGCAAATGAGTAATACAAAAATGACATACAGGCACCAAAGAATCTATGACAGATTTGGAAGTGGAATCATCCCATCCTAACTCAAGTTTCCGAACACTAAAGTAACGGACACTGCAAAATAGATATCCTGTAGTTTAGGGATCATACATCTCTTCGGCAACGTCATAAATTAAAGAACCCAACTCGCTCATCTAACGTCCTGCAATTTTTCCGCCATGTGTGTTATCAACAAGTTTTCGATGAAAATTGATAACCGAAATTGTTTCAAATGCATTCAATATACAATGTTGTCGAAAATTCAATTTTTTCGAAGTCATAAGCAGCAATTACCACAGGTCAGATTTTGTAGTCCGCAAGAAAAATTTGGTTCAATTCTTTCGGGTCAACTGAAATCATACGACTTTCCTGTAATACAGAGTGAATTTCCATAATAATAATTATTTATATTCCCTTGAGTTCCAAGTGGAACATAGAGCTCCAGCAAAACATCTCCACTTTGTCCTGTTTTCCGCCGTCTTCTTCATCCGAGCATACGATTGCCCAAACTCGCTCATCTCTTCCTCACTCAATATCCTCCACGTCACTGTAAGACGACCCACTCGTCGCTTCCCATTTGGATTCCACTCGAGCAATGGCCTGCATTTCTCACAATGTCATTCGACAGTCTCCTCAGTCTCCACGCATGCCCGATCTATCTCCATCTACTCCTAAATATCTGTCGAATGATCGGCTCTTGGTTGGTTCGTTCCCAGCCAGAGTTTCTTGTCACTAATTCTTTCTGGCCAGCCGACTGGCCATTTGATCTTCAGGGAAGCTGTTGATGAAAGTCTGCAGTGGCCTGTTGGAAATCCTTTCCGTGACTCGCTCGCCAGGATTCTGACCCGTATGGCTTGTGTTGAAAATGCGAACCTTGTTTTTTATGCTGAGTTAGTGCAGAAGATTTCCAAACTGGTCTCAGGTTGATAAAGGCGTATCTTGCCTTTCCGATTCTGACTGGCTTTGACATCTTCATCCGTGCCATCCGCCTGTAGTTGAAACGATGCTTCCTTCCTAGCCAGATAAGTGAAGGAAGTAACCTCTCCCGTTGATGGTGATTGGTGCTGGTTGTTGTTGTTGCGGTTCGTTGGTTATCTTCATCACCTCCGTCTTCTGTGTGCTCACCTGCAGTCCTGTCTTCGCCAGCTGCTCCTTCAATCAGTTTGTTCGTCTGTAAGTCTTCGAGTTTGTGTGATATTAGACATATATCATTTGCGAAATCCTGATCTTCTAGAGTCTTCAGTGTTCTTCAGTCGTCCAGCGTATTCCTGTCTTCTCACTCCCAACTCACAGTCTGACGCATAATCCAGTCGACCACAACTAAGAAAATCATCGGTGATAATAGGCAGTCGGACTTGTCTTACTCCTGTATGCACTTCGAACGCCTCACTGAGTTTCCCGTTGTGGATTTTGTGGCACATGTCACTCTCATATAGTCAGTTCTTGAATGAGGTTGATAAAGATTTAGACACTGCACGCTGTGGTGTCGAAGTAGTTTCCAAATTACGTGTCGATCAACGCCGTCTGTGGAATGGCTTTTCGAAGTGGATGAAGGAATTTGAGGTAGAGATTTGACTGCCATTCGATTCTTTGTTGTATGACAACGATGTAGAGAGTTGTAATTTGAAGAGCACAGGATTTGCCTTTCGTGATAACAGCTTGTTCTGGTCGGCGGGGCGGAGTTTTGTATCCAGTGCATCGTTTATTCTCTCCAGGATGATGCGACTTAGTATTTTACTTGGCGTGGACAAGGGCATGATTCCACTTGAGTTCTCGCAGAGTGAGGTGTAAGTCGCTCTTCTTTGGCAGTTTGATGAGGCATCCTTTCTGCCAATTGGTGGGGAGCTTTCCTTCTTTCCAAACCGTGTGTGCTGTCGGTGGTGGTGTTTCTGGGCAAGCTGTCGGTGGTGGTCGATTCAAGGGTCCTTTAAAGTGATCAGCCCACTGTTTGAATTGTTTCTCCTCCTTGGTGATCAGGTTCGCTTGAGCATCTTTTGTTGGTTTCATCATCTGGGTTGATCTGTTCCCGGATCGGATAGAGACTTTGTTATCTGATATAGTGTCCTGATGTCTCCTTTGCTTTAGGACTGCCTGTTCTGCTTCAGTTGCCAGGTAGTGTGTTGTAGAATTGTCGTTTGTCTTTTCTAGCACTCTCCTTTTCTTCTTTACTCAGTGCAGTTCAATGTATTGAACTCAGCTTCTCCTTCTTCTGTTGTCCATCTTTGCACTGAGTCATCTTCCCTCTCACCATCCTCCTCTCCTCTCCTTTCCTCGACTAGCTTGCAGGTAGGTGTCCGTAGAGAGCCATTCCTTGTCTTGTCTCCTCTTTCTTCCTAGTACAGTTGTACACGCTTCCTTGAATATCGCCTTCAGAGAGTTAGTTAGTTCCAATGTTCTTCCACTCAGGCTCTCTCAGTGATGCCACGCAGTGTCTCCGACGTTTCTCTGATCTGATGTGTAGTGAAGGTGTCCCTTGTGATTTTGTCCTTCAGTTTCTGAATGTTGAACTTGAATTGTGGTGGTCTGTCTCCAGTTGTTTTCGGAGTTTTCAGCTTCACCTTGTAGGTCGCTTGAACTGGATGATGGTGTGAGTGAGTGTACATCTGCTCCCATTCTCGACTTAGTATCCAACAAGGTAGCTGCGTCTGTACTTCCTTGAGGAATGTTGAGGTGAAGTCTATCTGGTTTGTGGTGTGTCGATCAGGTGAAATCGGTGTTGCTTTGTGTTTATCCTTGTGTTTGTACACGCTGCCTGTGATCACCAGGTCATTGGAAGCGCAGAAGTCTGTGAATAGTGCTCCGTTCTCCGAGAGCCTCTCGACCGATGTTGAGTTCTCTTCCTGTATTATGTGCTCCCAGCCCTGCTGTCATTCATATCGCCCGTGAGGATTTTGATGTCAACATTTGGGATGTTGTCGATTACTGTTTGTAGTTGTTTGACTATAAATATCCTGCTTCTTTTCTTGTTCCGCGTTGTTTGTAGCACTGTGCGTAGCATCGCGTGATAATTGTGACCTTCGTTCCTGCCTTTTGAGTTGAATCTTGCTTTCATGATCCTGCATGAGGAGATTGGTTCCCACTTGATTAGGACTTTGGCCGTCACTAGTGACATGGTTGTAGCCACTCACTGCCTCGATGTGTTCATGGTTGTCTTTTGGGTGTGCATACAGGAGTAGATTCCTGACTGTGCAGTTGACAATCCACGTGTTGTCAATCCACATGCATTCCATCTGCACTTGCAGATACCCAGTGCTTATACGCCATATGTTTTCATCTCTTTGGCTACCTGGCCAGCCTTCCCAGGCAGCCTTGTATATAATACGTACATTCCACGTTCACATTCTTACTCTTGCTTTCATCGAGATAAGATACATCGGCTGACTGATTGGCTCCTCGAAACCTTTCACCAACCAGCTGTGTCATTTCGCCTCTACGCTTCGATCGAAAAATAAGGTTTTATTTGAAGTTTTTGTATTTTCAATATATATTCTGTGCGTTGAGGTTTCTCTAGCTGTTTGAATGCTATTGTGGGGTTGCTAAACCCGCGCTTAACCTCCTTCTTTACCCGGCCTTGGGCTAGACCAGAAAACCAGCGAGCCAGTTAACTATGCGAGGTTGAATTTTCAAAAGCATAATGCAAATAGACTTCTGTCAGAGTAAAAACGAGAATAATTCAATGTCAAGTTTACTTTCACACATATATATGAACAAGGAACAGTAACAACTAAAATAACTAAAGCAAACTGTGAATTTAGGGCGAAACCCTTGACCAGAACTAAGCAGTGTATATTTCAGTGGGTTAGTCCATAGTGAGAAAAATGGTGACACATTTCATCTTATTTTTAAGGACAATTTGACCAATAAATCATCGGTCATTGATGAAATAGGCTCCTTAGACTAAAGCGCTCTTCATTCATGATACTTCAAGACTTCAGTTAAACGTAGCTTATTTCAGAATCCCAAATGATTAGTTATACCCTTACGGATATCTAGTAATGTACATAGTTAATGAGTTACCTATAGTTTGGTCGAAGTGATTAAATGTCATTATGCTGAGTGTTTTATATAGTGTTTTTATGTGAGGACCAAGCTAACGTGTAGCCACTTAACCTTCATCTGAAAAAGGTTGCTTGGTGATTATTCACTTATGTGACCTAAATATCTCCTATTAGTGTCCGAACAATCTTGTATTAATATATTGCGTGAATTCTTCCAACGTTTAGAAAACTTGTGTGGTTACTGCCATAATAACAATGCATTGTAGGTATTTACACGAATATCCCAACAATAATACAGCCAAGTAGGGAAAGAGATGCTTACACTCTAGCCCTGATGGTAAGCACAATAACCATTACTTTCAATAAAACACAATTTTGACAGTTATTATTTGATTGCTAATGTGTTGTTACAGAGTCATGAAAATATCTGCTGTGAAGCATTCGACAGATCTTACAGTCAACGTAGCCACATATTTCACTTATATAGTCGTAGACATGTCTAAATGGAAGGTGAATTGTTTTCTAGTTGACCAACAGATTACTTATTTGATGCATTTTTCATATACAGTTCAAGTCAGTTGTAAGGTCCTAATGTGCTTGAAAGCCAAATTTTTGACTATCAGTTATCATCTAAGTGTACAATCTGAGAGCAAAACTGACCGATTCTCAACTTTAATTCAGGGCTAATTTGTGTGAAAAAATTAATTGGCTAGCGGATGCATGAATAAATTTCCGTGATGTTTTCTCTTTGAGGAATGGGAGTGAACTTCGTTTTTATTGAATAGGTTTATCAAACTAGACTGAGATGTAACAGTAGCCAATCATCCTAAATCGTCTGACCGAATCAGGGTAAGCTACCCCAATTAAGGGTTACACTAGACTCTGCCGAAGAGGCCGAAAGGGTACTATTGATGGCTCTGGTACTAGCCATCGACAGAAGCTCGAACATAAGGGTGAGACAATAGAGACCATGGGCTATCAGAGAAATGGCTAGGGAGTCACCGGAACTGATGCTTTCCACCTCTATGGTGGTACACGGTGTTCCGGAGCTAAAAACGGGCACTGATCGTGAAAAACACATGCATGATGTACAGCAATGGAGATGGCTGTCAGCTCAGATGGCCCTTGGCGCTTCTGGAGCCATCTCCACTTCCCGACCACCT